ATGTAGGTCATAAATGTCACGAAGGAAGTTAACAACTTCTCTAACAAGTTTTTAAAATTAATGTACACATTTTTAGCTGACTTTGAATAAATTGTGCTGCTTCTATATATTTTATTCCTGAAATAGAAACACGCCCAAATGTGACAAAAGTGTCATTTTGCGGTGAGTGACAAGTGCCATTTTCTCACGCAAAGCTATATATACTCAGTTATACTTTAGGTAAGGTGTCATTTAGAGCAGCAACGTTCAATGAGCTTCAGGAGGAAACAGAATTATACAGAGTGAAATAAACGGTAACGCATGTGCTTTTCTTGTTGTCTAAGTTAAGAAAGAAACTATTATAACTTTTATTATTAGGTCGTGTTTCATGTAACTTATAAGACAATGAGGAGGAATCAAAGATCTTTGGTCATGTGATGAGAAAAGGAGCACTGAAAATAACGCTACGACTGAAAGATCACTGGTAGAAGAGGCAGAGGGGAAAAAAGGATAGGTCAGGCAGCAGGAAAGAGCAAGAGGTAGTCAACGATGCAGGGTTGGGTAACAACAGGAGATGGACAAACAGCAGTCTTCAACAAAGTGTAAAACCAAAACATGATGAGACATTTTAGAGACGGAAACTGACTGATTAATTGGTTATAACTTTTACAACAACGTAAAGTGAAAGAAGCATATGGTGTTGAACCAATTTTTTTACAGCATGGTCAGTATTCTGTGAATATGTGGTTAAGATTATGCTGCTTCGACTTGACATTCCAGGAAATTACCTGGCACTCATTTTGTGGACGGTAGTCTAGCACCCTTGGCCTCTCTCGACAACTTTAGCCTTAGAGTTTCTCTTTGACGTTTTCCTTTCCTCATGCCATCCGTTTCTTATTTCAGTGCCTGTTTTGTAATTCTTTGCCCGTTTCTCCTCGAGGTGACCCAATATATTCTTATATTCTCTGTAGATGAAAGCGGTTTTTCTGACATTTCACCTGTCGTGGTAGTCTGTGGCTTAGGTGTTGCGAAAGTGCTTTGTAATGCCGGGGTGCCTGGCTTGATCCCAGCTACAGACGATTTGGCAGGAGAACGTTTTACGCTGGTTTCAACACTGCTACCGGCAGTTGACTGTTCAGAAAGCGATGGAAAACTTCTGAACGGGAAATTTGCCTAGAAAAACCACAACAGTCAAACAATGCTGGGTTTGGCTCTGCAACGTCCCGTAAAGGACGTATAACTAACTTTTTATGAATGTGACAATGGCTGTATACTTTTAGTCAGAAATGCAGCTAGAAGTATAATTGCAAAAGTTTAATCACATGATGTCTTCTTTTTCTTCGTTCGCCTGAAATAAGTTTTCTATATCAGCAATTTTGTCTCTTGAATAAATTTCACTGTCGATGTTAGTTCATTCAGTGGTCCATAGAGTTTACGTTCCACTGTTGTTCTTTCTGGCCAAAAGGTTTGCCTTAATGTGTCAAATTTGGTGCAGTCCTGGAATACATGCTCTGCTGTCTGGGGCACCTTTCTACAGGTACACATGGCTGATACGCCTATCTTGAATTTTGTGTACATGTGGTTACGTAATCGGTTGTGCCCTGTTCTGAGACGGAGGATAATGACTTGTTCTGATCTGTCCATAATAAAATAGTCGTCTTGTGCCGGGGCTGGTGGTTTCCTGATTGATTTAATTATTCTTTTCTATTGGTGGTATGTGAATGGTATATCCGGCTGCACTTTTATCGCACCTTCCTCTGCCAGTTGATCAGCTTTCTCATTTCCAGGCATTTCACAATGAGAGTGAATCCATTGCATTACAACTCTTCGTTGAAGGCTAAGTTGTGTCAGCAGTGTTTGCAATTATGGTAGTTTCCTAGACTGGAGATCACATGATGTAATTATGGCCAAGAAAATGGGCTCTCCTTCGAACTTCTACTCCATATTATGGCGGCCAAACAAATACCCTAACAGGGCCTTAGTCGAATGTAAAATGCGGACTTCCTCCGACGAACAAATCGCGGCAAAACTAGGATTACTTGACAATGTGACGACACGCAACACTGCAGACGTTAGTAGCAGACGATACTAGCCACCGTTGACAATTTCGAGCGTTTCTGCAGACAATACTGGCAAACGATTCTAGCAGACGATACTAGCGACCACAGACAATTTCGAGACACGCAACAATACATACGAAAATAGCGACATGGCGGGGAGACCACGTGCTCCGACGCAGATTAGGGATATTGTTCTTCCGATTAAACTCACCGCGTAGCGTATCCCGCCACTACGCTAAACCAGATACCTGGGACTCACGAGCAAATAAATTGGAGGAAGTTGCAGGAGAGGCGGTAGCCGCTGCTCGTGAGTCTTAGCCACCTAGTTTAGCCCTCCATCCGCGCCGCGGGGGATACTGTCTGTGGTGCGGCTTAGTCGCAGAAACAGGTCCGCAATTAACATATCGCTGAGACCCTGTTAGAGCATTTGTTTCGTTATTCGGAGCCAATAATAGTTTTGCCGCGATTTGTTCATCGGCTGGAACTCCGCATTTTGCATAGGACTGAGGCTCTGTTAAGGTATTTGTTTGGCCGCCATAATATGGGGTAGAAATTCGAAGGAGATTCCGAAAATGAGACCAATGGAATGATAATTTTTCTCAACTAACAATACTATTAATTCAATTGCCCCCAACTACTTGCCATTCTCGTCTCAGGCTAATCAGAAAAGCTTTGGAAAATCACTAACTTGTTCCGGAAACATACACCCAAGCAGAAGAGCAAGAGGTTTAATGTAACTGACCTGTGAAACTGACATATAGTTAATGTGTTATCATTTTTTAAAGGCTTTTTATAGATTTAATGTTGAGCCGTGTTATCGCAGCCGATAGGGCGCTCGCTTTCAAATCCAGCTGCGAATCGCCGCAGCCATGGTCGTTGTTCGAAACGAGCGGTTCCGGGGGTTCACCCAGTCTCTAGGAAATGGGTACCAGAGTGACACTCTGGGGTGAATGGAGGAACGTCGCTGTAGCTACAGAGTTACCTACGAACGGTGACACAAGTGGACAGTTCATCAGCTGTCCGTACTGGTGGCAGAGCACTTATAGTTAATAACCGTCTGCAATGACGCTGGTTCACATCTCCCGACTTTAGCTTTACCTTTTTATAGATTTAATGCTTTTATTTCAATTGGACACAGCCTGTCCAGATAATTTTACGTATTCTTCAGTAAAATCACATCTATGAGCTTTCAAGAAATTGCTTGGCTTTTTTTAATTAACTGTCAAGAGTTTACGACCTTATATTAAAACTGGCCCCATAAATCTTGAGAGAGAAAGAGACAGAGAGAGATAGAGTTCTCTAACCTCATATTGTAGGGATTTATCACATGAGACGAACTAGCGTTTATGCTGTCTTAAATCCAGTTATGTGCATTAGTTCAGATCCTGGCTAAATATAGCGTCATGAACTGTCAGTGTCGGCTCCAGATGACGTCCAGATAGCTATAGTCGGCACAGGCTAAAACTTCAACGTCACACAGCTGTTCATCAAGCCATGCTATGATAAACTCACGTGACAGGGGTTTATTGTATAAGACGCACTAGTGTATATGTTGTATAAAATTTATAAATATTCATAACCTTAGATTCTGTAACCTGTAACCTTGCGAATTATAATATCATCATCATGTGCCTTGCCAAATCACGATCCCTGGTTGCATTGAACAGCTCTCTTGATGATATCTCTCCATGCCATCGTTCAGCCCATCCAGCATCATCTCTCTTGGTCTGCCTCTACCCCTTGTCCACTGATCTTTCCAGTCGTCACGAAGTTCTCCAAATGTCTTTCTTCTCAATGTGTGGTCAAAGAACAGTGTTTGTCTCTTTCTTATTGTTGTATATAGAGATCTACTTTCATTAGCCTCTTTCTGGCAATAAAAGACACGGAGAAGAGAGCAGGAGAATAAAGTTAGAAAGATGGGGAGGACATGGGGAGAGCTCCATGTAATGGCGAATGATAGAACGACTTGGCGTGAGTTGGTTGAGGGCCTATGCTCTATTGGGTTATAGAAAAGCAGAAGAAGAATTGGGAGCTGACCCCTGCTAAGGTGGAAACAAGACATTAAAGATGCTCTGGCCATGAAAGAAAGTAAAGCTGGGGTACTGGCTAGAAAAAAAAAAAGATAATTTCAGAGGTGCTGTGATGACAGCAACGTACAGTATAAAACCTATATGCTAATTTTTGTTGATGATTATATTGATAATGACAGAGTTATTAGTTTAGCACCGTTATAAATTTTATTTTTGTGAAGGCTCACAATGCCTATGCCTCTAGGTTCAGTAAGGTTAAGTCTAAAGTATTCGTAACATTCGTCTCAGAAACCACATCTCTGTTGCTTCCAAACTCTTCTTGATTTGTTCAGTGACAAATAACAACCTAACTTTGAAAAAAAATATTAGCCACTGACGCCGTCAAGATAGCTATCGTAATGATTGCCTGTAACGACAAGAAAACAGAGCTGCTCATCAAGGCACATAATGATACTAATTCATTCATGTATTAATTTTTCAATTTCACTGTTTTTAAATCAAATTATTTCAACACATACAGATTCTGTAACCTTTGATCTGGCTGGTGTTGGAACCCTGACTGACTAAAATGTCGGGCCCAGGCTCCGGTCAGATAGTAATCGTGGGAATTGGGTGCAAGGTTCCAGGTGCCGACAACACTGAGCAGTACTGGCGACTGTTGGAGAACGGGGAGAACCATGTCATCGAAATACCGAAGGAGCGTTGGAACAACGAGGCTTTCTATGATCCTGACCCTCATGCCGTGGGGAAGTCTTATGTCCGTCGTGCTGGCTTGCTTAAAGAGTAAGTTGTATATGTTGTTTAGAGTATTGTTTGAAGTCTGAAACATTTAACTCTTCTAGTCACATGAAACGTGTGATGTATAATAGAATTGTCCACATGAATGTCGGCGATCGCATGCTGTGATCATCCCAGTTTTACTATTGGTCAGAGAACATTAAATAAATCTGGCTTTCACTTAAGAAGAAGAAGAAGAAGAAGAAGAAGAAGAAGAAGAAGAAGAAGAAGAAGAAGAAGAAGAAGAAGAAGAAGAAGAAGAAGAGAGAAGAAGAAGAAGAAGAAGAAGAAGAAGAAGAAAGAAAAGAAGAAGAAGAAGAAAGAAGAAGAAGAAGAAGAAGAAGAAAGAAGAAGAAGAAGAAGAAGAAGAAGAAGAAGAAGAAGAAGAAGAAGAAGAAGAAGAAGAAGAAGAAGAAGAAAAGAAGAAAAAGAAAAGAAGAAGAAGAAGAAGAAGAAGAAGAAGAAGAAGAAGAAGAAGAAGAAGAAGAAGAAGAAGAAGAAGAAGAAGAAGAAGAAGAAGAAGAAGAAGAAGAAGAAGAAGAAGAAGAAGAAAGGAAAAAGCACGTTATTATTGTTTTTATTACACATGTAAACTATATGTGTTGTATATTGTGTATATTTTGCTATTCATATAATAATTTTTGATATATTATATTACTATATTATTTTTATTGCTTGTCTTAATGTAAGGGGAGGGAATGCAGCCTGAAACTTAAATTAATCAGCAGTCTAGGATATCTCATTCATCTTCTTTTTTCACCGAATGTGACCTCCAGCGGAAAGTTCTGGTTGTTCGTCCCTCTAGACTTTGGCTTTGTGCTAGGGGCTGAGATTGGCGTGTACATCCGTGCGTAGTGGATGTGACCCAGGAACCCACATTAGGAGGAGTGGAATTTAAGTAATCCCTTGTCTAAAACAAAGTCATTACGTACATCCTTCTTAGGACGTAATTTTTTTTTTTTTTTGTTATTTGAGGCCCCACTCTGGCTTTTGCTAGGGGCCGGAAATAGGCAGGCCATCAATATGGCCAATTGTCTGAACGCGGTTTCTGGGACCTCTCCACGGCGATCCTCATCCGCATTGTGGCACTTTGTGTCATGTCCTGGTGGGGTCAGTCAGTCAAAACAAAGCTATATACCGGCTTCCCGTCCCTTTTAAGCATACAATTTTTCGTTGTTTGAAGCACTACTCTAGCTCTTGCCAGGGGCCGCAGTATAGCCTGGCCATAAATATGGCCTAGGGCTGAACGCGGTTTCTGGGACCTCTCCGCGGTGATCCTCACCCACATGGTGGCACATTGTGTCATCGGGTGTGTATCGCTTGTGTGATGTCCTGGTGGGGTAGAAAGTCAGTCAGTTAAAACAAAGTGTAGGAGGAGAAAAAGCTGGCGAGAGACCGAGTTCCTTTCAAGCAGAGGTTGATGAGTGCGACGTTCTGCAAAGAACCTGCAACATGACGCTGACATGCTCTTGTCTTTTTCTTACAGCCCGCTCGCCTTTGACAACAAGTTGTTCAACATCAACGACTTCGAGGCAGACCAGATGGATCCCCAGCAGAGACTGGTGCTTGAATGCAGTTACATGGCCATGGAAGATGCTGGCTTGACCAGAGACAAGCTGACCGGCTCCAATACAGGGGTCTATGTCGGTAAGGACAATACTTTTCCTCCCATTGACTGGGTTCCCCGTGTAGATTCTAGGACCCCCATTTAAGGAGTTAAAGTTGGTTAGTTGCCTATCCTTTAAAGGACTTTACAGAACCAACCCCAGCATTTTTGCTGTTTTTGACTTTTGTGATTTTTCTAGGTAAATTTACGTCCAGTAGTTTGCCACTGCTTTCGAGACGGTCATCTTCTCAATGCCACTGTCGAAAATAGCGAAATGCACAAAGCCTACAGCAGGGATCGAACCCAGCACCTCGGCATTTCAAAGCGCGTTTGCAACGCCTAAGCCACAGACGCCGACCATTTAAGGTGTGGAGAACAGATAAACTGCCCCTAACAATCATGTCGTAAAATGCCATTAGTAAGCGATCTAGCCAAATCGGATGTTATACGTCGAAAAGTGCAGATATCGCATCCTAGCTGTAAACCACAGCACATCCGTTTTTTTCTTTAAAAAATGACATTGGTGCCCAGGTCGACCCAGCATTGAATGGGTACCACTACAGTCTTGGGAAGTAAAGGCGACCGGCGTGATGTTGACCACATCAACCACCGAGTGCTGATTGGTCTATACAGTTGAGCTGAGTTGAGTTGAGTTAAGAATTGACATCACAGCACTAAGGGCATTCCCATGCATGCTCCGTCCTCATTTTCAGCAGCCAGCACAGAGTTCTAATATTTATGGTACTGGTTACAATCTGGTTAAATGTCTGTCTTGCGATTGGTCTATACAGTTGAGTTGAGTCAAGAATTGACATCACAGCACTCAGGGCTTTTCCATGCATGCTCCGTCCTCATCTTCAGCAGCTAGCGCAGAGTTCCAATACTGATGGTACCGGTCACAATCTGGTTAAATGTCTGTCTTGCGGCTGGTCTACACAATATAGGTCTAGCTCTGTATGGCCAGTGCGTCTGAAAGCAACGGTCCTTTACTTTACTTGGCCATTGAGTTAACCGTGTGTATCGATTTTTACCCACCAAATATACGCTTGACACATTCCGTTTCTGGGCACAGCTTTCATCGAGTCTGCTCTCTAGACAGTTGCAGTCCCCTGCTGACGAGATTCTGTCTTCCTAAGTGGGTCGCCGCGATTTCAACATTGCGAAGGCTGCGTGGTCTGGACTGCCAAAACTATCGGTCATAATCCTGCCCCGACACAGCACAACCACAATACAGGCTGCTCCCACGAAAAACACATAGAATCTTGCGTTGGAAATGCGCACAAATTAGCAGTCCATGATTAGGAAACAGAATAATCCGATAAAATTGACAGCCGGCGAAAATAAACACCGCTGCTATCCGCCATTTTGAAAACGGAAGTCAATTTTACTTTACTTGGTGACCTCCCCTTGTATTAGCTCTTTCACACATGCATGTCCATTGATAATGTCTGCAGGTGCCATGAACGGAGACTACAGAGGTCTCTTCACCGCAAAGTCGCCCATTGTTGGCAACTATACTGTCACCGGGATCTCCAACAGTATCATTGCAGCACGAGTCTCCTTCACCTTTGACCTCAGAGGACCATCCATGACTGTCGATACAGCATGCTCGTCCGCTCTTCTGGCCATACATCTTGGAGCTCAGGCTCTTCGTGCAGGTATGTACGTCAGAGACGTTTGTAGATGCAGTTTTAGAGATGCATGTAGGGACATACATATTTGTTCACTTAGACTTCTTGTAATTTTCCCTGGTCTCTGTGTAGTAAGATCGGACGCCCGTATGTATTGTTGTGCACATAAAAAAAATAACTTGGCAGTTAAATATCGAAATGTCTGGGTAAAATTTTAAGTAAAAAATCTACCACAAGTAAATTAGAATTATGGCCGGTGATACGGACTTCGTGCACTGCGCTAAGATTCTTCGCACTCAGGTTTAAGTCAAAATTAGAACGGAACAATCACGGGTTACTGCCCTTATGCCATGATGTTGGTCCGTCGTCTAAACCTAAACATAAAGAAATGTGTACGCTTTTTGTCGAGGTCGTCTACCTAGCAGGGACATTTCTATGTAACGTATTTTGTTAGTCTATACCATGTAGATAAAGAAAGTTCTGTTAAAAAAGTGACACACGCGCACGCACACACACATACATACATACCATTTTTGTAAACTGTTGCTGTAGTAAGCACTTTACCAGATACCGCAAAATATGCCAGACAATAAATTGCGCAATCTATTGTTTGTGTTTTCTTTGTTTAAATCTACAACGAGGAAACATTAATTGCTGTTTTAACTGTATCTTTTCTCCCACAGGCGACTGCGATTTGGCTCTGTGTGGCGGTACCAACTTTCTGATGTCACCCGATGTGTTTGTCCATCTTAGTAAAGCCCACATGGTATCACCGACTGGGCAATGCTTCGCTTTCTCAGACAGTGCTGATGGGTACACTCGTGGAGAAGGCTGCGGGATGGTGTTTCTTAAACGGCTGGAAGATGTAAGAATAATTAATTGCTGGTATAAGTAAAACAGGGAAGTCGCCGTAGCGAAGCGGCTAGAATGTCATGGGTTCGCTCCCTGGCAGAGCCAGACTTTTTTTCAAAAATGACCTTGGCCCCCAGGTCGACCCAGACTTGAGTGGGTACCGGGTGAAGTCCCTGGAAGTAAAGGCGGTCGTCGCAATTCTGACCACATCACTCATCCTGTGCCGATTTGTCTATAAAATATAGTTCTAACCCCACATGCCATATACGCCTAAAGGCGTGGAAAAGATCCTTAACGTTTATGTTTAATAAGTAAAAGCGAGTTAAAGTAAACATTTTCAGATTAGGCTTCTTTCTGGTGGGAACTTAGGGATGTTAGTCACTATAACTCAATCAGTGAAGAAGAAAAATACCCGAGCTTTTAAACTGAAATACTACAAAAAAGTTCAGAGAATACCATGGAACAAGAAAAAGAAGAAAAGGGACACTGTCACCTCAATGAGCATCTGAACATCAAAGAGAACTGGCTAATAAACAGCATCCTGACCCGAAATTTGGATATGTTAAAGATGGCGTGGAGAGAACGGTGATGTGTTATACAGTTTCCGGAACAAAATAGGCAGAGGCATACCACCACAAAAGTGGATGCAAGACGCTGACGATGCATTAGCTATGAAAGGGCCGGGGAATAGGTTAGATAAATGGAGCTTACGAGTGCCGTGATCAGAGTGCCGTGATCAGAGTGCCGTGATCAGAGTGCCGTGATCAGAGTGCCGTGATCAGAGTGCCGTGATCAGAGTGCCGTGACCAGAGTGCCGTGATCAGAGTGCCGTGATCAGAGTGCCGTGATCAGAGTGCCGTGATCAGAGTGCCGTGATCAGAGTGCCGTGATCAGAGTGCCGTGATCAGAGTGCCGTGACCAGAGCTACGTCCGGCAAGGGACATGCTGACCGGTGATACGTAAAACACACTCAGAAATGACGAGTATTGACCGGCATAGATACAATACAACGGTGGTTTTTTTCCCCTGGCTTCTGCCGGTTTGCACTTGTAATGGTTCTAGTAC